ATCGATAATTTTTAATTGATATATATCGATTAACTGCTATATATCGATATATATCTGCTTAAAAATTTTGCTGATGAAAATACTAATACTTGAAAGGGGAGAGATATTAAATCGTGAATAAACAAATTTTAGAATAGATTCACGTACAATATTAAAAAAATGAACTAGTTGTTGGAGATTATGTTATTTTCTTTGGGTAACAAATATCACACTTGAGGAAATGGTTAAAATAAAGTTAAAAGCAGATTTCTTTCGTAATACAACAGAAATAGAATACAATTTCCTCATCAAAGAATTATTAGGTCAAGATTTCCCTAATTTTTCAAATATAAAAGATGAAAAAATTTTATACTTGGTAGAAATTGCCAAGAATATAAAATCTTAATTGTACTATAGCATGATGCTTAATTAAAAATATATATAAACTAGTTTACTGCTAAAAAAACTTTTAATTTGATAGTTGTTTCATGAAACATCACAAATTTAATAACAATAAAAATTATGAGCTTGATTCAGTAGAAATTATGACATTCTTCATATAAATTTTGATTATTCATAGATTCCAGCTCTAAACTAATTGAAAATTAGACATTTCTCATTTGCAAAACAAGCTGAGTATTTATACATGTTATTACTCAACAAATTCTAGGTATTTTAATTAATATAATAGTAAAAGCTGCTTAAAATTTATTTAAATAACTTTAAATTCATTAAGATATAAACTACAAAATTAGTTATTGATTTTTTTCTAGTTTATGTATTTATAAATCCAATTTATCTAAAAAAATAAATTATAATTTGTAAGTAACATGTTTAAGTTATAAACGATAGCTTTCATTTCTTGGAATTATAATGTAGTGTATCCTTTAGAAGTGATGTACTGAATTCCAGTTAAGATAATAATTACTAATACTAATGTTATTAAATTTTATTTGTATACAGTATATGTTTATTTTTTTTTGATAATCAATTTGAGCTAGCTAAAAAAAGCTTTACAGAATATCACATAAAAGAAACTAATATAACAAATTTAATTAAACAAATCTTAAAAGTAAATACCACAAAAGAATATTATTAAAAAAATGTAAAGTTATATTTTTCTATAAGGACAAATATCCAAAGTTTGAATAAGAATGAAAGAAACTAAAGCATAATTCAGACTGGCTGGCTCAAATGATTTGCGTAATTATGGTAACAAATTTCAGCAACATCCGATTGCAACTATAGGTTCTAAAATCTATTTAATTTTTTTAGTTATTTAGAATTAGCATAAATTTGTTTTTAAAGTATGCAATCTAAGAAGTACTCAGATATCATATATACATAGAGGTGAGTTAATAGAAATGCACCAGATGTTTTCTAAGTAAATTTTTTTGAAACTTTAAACAAAAATAACTCAACAACGACTTAACCAAATTTAATAAATTTTTTTCAAATTAATCCTAAAATCTTATAGTATTTATTTAAAAAAAATGTGGTAGCTGAAGCTGAGATTTTGAAATATTTTAATATTAAAATTTAAAAATTTTTGGGTCTTTTTTGTTAGCTTTTTTTTTGAGTTTGGGTTAGGATTTAGAGGTAGTTTTATTAATAAAAGAGTATAAATAAATTTTAGTAGATATTATAGATTTAAATAGAGACACTCCGATCTCAGTTTCAGCTGCCACAAAAAATTATTAAATTCAGATATATTCTTGTCATTTAATTTTTGTTTAAGGTTGCAAAACTATTTACTAAAAAGATTTGGTGTATTTTTATTGACTCACCCCTATATATTGTTTAATATTAATTATTTTAACTATGTCTTTAATTTCTTGCCTAAAAGTGATTTATTAAATTTGAGATATGAATTTGTAAAAGAATTATTGAGCATCTTTAAAGTAAATTTTTATTTACTTTTATATTTTAATTTGCACATACTTCGATTTAGCAATAAAATTCTTGCTTAATTGTTGCAAGAACAAAGTCTTTGCACTACTCCCAAATCCATGGAGCCTAAAAATTCTTATTCAAAAATATAATCTATATGCAAGCGACTTAAATAAATATCTAGAATTTTGAGATATTCATCAGCCTTTTTTAGCTCATTAAATTTTTTGAAAGCATCATCAATCATTAGGACATTTGTTTGTAATATAGTATATTAAAAATAACACGCTTTATTTATATCAATTTTATCAATAGAATACTATAATAATAAAATTCCTAATAAAGTGTCTATTGACTTAGAAGTACTATATTGATTTAAATATTATTGATAAATTGAATTGATAAATTAATTGACAAAAAAATTAGATTTTAAAATAAAATCATAACTATATCATTAAAAATATGATTGGTCAGTATTACAATATTTATCAATTATCCATTTTTGTAAAATACAAAAAAATATGATTGGTCAGTATCACAATATTTATCAATTATCCATTTTTGTAAAAAAATACAAAAAAATATAATTGGTCAGTATCGAAGTATTACTGAATGTCTGGCAGCAACCATTCATTTTTTAATTATTGCTAGTTTACCTTTATAGTAAATTGTGGCTGATTCTATTTACGTGACTTGCAACTCTTTCACTCTTGGCAAATCCATGATTCTAGTTATTTGCTTCTGGGTTTACTTCTTGTCTCTCTTTACTAATATCTTGATTGATCACTGTAATATGGCTGGGTACAAAGAATTGATTAGATTTCTTAAGCTCCTTTATTCTTTTTGTTGCCTTAAATGATATAAGTGCCAATTCGCAAATGATATATAATACCCTTGAATAATTATAATTTTCTTCATTATTAGAAATTTTTTCCAAATATTTTTTAATTTGATTTTCGATATTTTCTTCCTCTTCAATTACAATAATGAACTTGACACCAGCAAAAAAATTTGAAAATTCAATTCACATGTCAAATATTTTTTAAAAATTTTTTTAAGAATTTTAGAAGCATCATTATGAATTATTATTGGCATTGGATCTCTGTTAATTTAGATATCAGTATATTTTTTTATCTTGTTCTGTTAGTTTTTAATTATATTTTGTTAAATTTTTGTACTAAATTAATAATTTTTGTTTATAAATTCATACCTAATAATTAATTAAAATGTTTAATGAATAAAAAAACTTAATTAGCTGATGGTTTAAATTTAAGAATACGTCAATTTTTGATAGATCAAATAAGAAGGTGACAGTGCTAGTTTGACGTAAATTATAGATACCCCTTTTTTTATTTGTTTCTGGCATTTTTATTTTGAGATGAAAATACTATCAATGTTTTTATACTTTTAATCTACGCGCTAATATGCACATCTCGAAAGTTGGACTTCTACACATCACATTAATGCGATATTCAACCAAGGTTTGAGATAAACAAAGGAATATAATTCATGTTAAGTTAGGTTAAATCTATTAATAATATCTTTCAAATCTCAAATTGACACCAATTAATAAAGTCCATCCATATATAGCTAATTTAAGTAATCTATGATAGATTTAAAGTAACTAACAGATTATTTATACTCTTTATAATTTAGAGTTCGTATCTGAATGTATTAAAATTCATTAGAGAATACAAATGGGAGTATCAATGTCCCATTTCGGAATGATATTTGATAAAGAAAAAAAAGTACACATAGGTATAGAACCCAGTCAATATAAATTTAAGTAATAACAATATAGTTATGTAGAATAAGATATATGTGGGATTTCTTAATTATAGTAGTATTTCAATGAGATATTTATAGAAGATTTTCTAGTTGCTAAGGTCTTTATTACTAATTAATTATTTCATCTTTATAAGTAAATTCTTGAAACAAAGAATGTGTATTCAAAATTCTTTGCACCTTACTGCAAAAGGGTCTTTTATCCGAATTGTGGTTTAATTTTTTTTGTACTATAACTGTATATTCTTGCCATTTCTGAGTTGATATATTTTTACTAAGAATTCTTTTATTTTCTTATCCATTTTTGTTCTTACAAAATTATTACTATGAATTCTTGCTGATAAATTCAAATTAGGATTCTATATATAAAAATATCTAAAAATAATATGGGATATCAAAGCTAAATTAAATCGATTAATGTCAAAATTCTTTGCACTTTACTTCAAAAGGTTTTTTGTCTGAATAGCCTGCTTAATAATATTTTTACTATCATGTTAATCTTTTTTCATGAGCTCTGTTCATGACAAATATTTCGCAAAAATTTTTATGAATTTATACTTAAGTTATTTAGGTGAAATAAATTGTGTTCAATATATTATTAATACAAATTATAATAACACATATATGAAATAAAAAAAGATGTTTATGAGACAGCATTTCTATGAGATATTTATAGACCAATTTTTTGTTGCTAAGATCTTCATTACTAATTAATTATTTTATCTTTGTAAGTAAATTCTTGAAACAAAGAATGTGTCTTCAAAATTCTTTACACCTTACTGCAAAAGGTTTTTTGTCCAAATGGTAGATTAATTTTTTTTGTACTATTTAATGTATATTTTTGCCATTTCTGAGTTGATATATTTTTTACTAAGAATTCTTTTATTCCTTCCTTTTAGTACATTATTTGGATTATATTATTAACTGGCTTTATCCATTTTTGTTCTTACAAAATTATTACTATAAATTCTTGCTGATAAAGCAAAAACAATTTTGACAAAATATTCTTGAGCATTTCTGAGTGAAAAACTAAATATTTTATTCCTAAAATAGATATAAGAATTCCATGAGAAATTCACTTGTATAACGTTTAAAAAAATATAAATACATTATTTTTTTACCATTATTGCAATTAACATTATCATCAGAAAAAATCCAAACAAATTCTATATAATGTTTTAAAAATATAAATATTATTTTTCTTTTTACCTCATCCATTTTTTATCAATAAAAAAAACAAAAAATCAAATAGAAAAAATTAGCGAACAACCTAAGATAAACGATTTTGAAGTGTTGTCTACATTATATAATCAAACAGAATTTAAAAAAAATGATAAAGAATTTACGAATGTTGACATGGATAATTTTGAGAATAATCAAAAAATATTAATTAATGAAGATGAAAAAATTTCTGATAATAAAAAAATAAAACTGATTAAGGAAATTTTAGAAAATTCGAAGAATGCTGAAGCAAAATTCTGACAAATATTGGAAGATAAGTGTAAAGAATATAATTATGAACCCGTTTCAGAATATTGCAGGAATTAAATAATTCAAAGGTCATAACACATTTAATATTACTAAAATAATTGTACACTCCCCTGCCAGTGATCACCGAAATTTTCAAAATTATATACGATCGACGGCTATGACTCACGTCATACAATAATTTTTTTTGGGACAAATTTCTTACTATAAATATACAAATTTTTTTTTTTACAGTTGCGCCAG